TTGAGAGTTTGGGTCTGAGAGAATTGATCGATGGTGGAGACGCTGCTCGTGGTAGGGTTCTTCATAGGAACATCAACATCGGTTCATCGAGGTTTGTGGTCATGGTCAAGCCTATAGTTTGGGTCTGTGAATGTTAATGTCACTTCCTGAGAGTTTCGTAGAAGCTTTAGGATAATAACGTTGGGAATTTATTAGGATTCCATAAGCTGCTCGATCTTAAATCCCTTGCCTTTCGTGAGTTATTACAAAATATTTGTAGACTGCAATCGATTGTTTTGGGTCATGTTTAGTGAGAAATGTAAGTATGGCTCATGCTTTTTGGATGATTTAGTTTTCATTGATCAAATGTTGGCTAAACAAAGTTTTGGGTCATGTATAGGATCGTTTGGGATGATTTTTGCTGATCACTTGGTTATAAGATGAGTACAAGCTCAGTTAGCGACCTGTGCTCAATGCTGTTTTTGAAATCTGATTCACTTTGGGCTCATGGTCAAGCCTATAGTTTGCTTCAACAATTTCTTTTTCATTTCAAGACAATAATAGCTGATAGGAAAAAGTTGGAACCTGATAGTGTTTGATCATTTTGATAGTGAATTCAGCTAATCTGAATGTTGTTACAGGGTAGGCCAATGTTTGATTGTGGTTGTTGCACTTGTGACTCAAATATGGTCTTGACAAACATTTGTTCTATATGATCAATCAATCTCCTCACTTCATATTACAAATTTGCAAGTTTTTCTTCACATTGACTGCTGCTAACCTCTTTTTCTTTTCGTGGTATGTGGATGGTTGCTTCCCATATACTGTATGATAGAAATGCATGTCAATGTGACAAAAAAGGAAAAAAAAAGAAATGCATGTTAATATTCAATGGCTTGTTTTATTTATTCTAGTGTCATTATATTCTTACAAAGGCTGCTTTGCTTTCAGTGCTTTTTTCCACATACGATTTTAGTTCGCAATGTGATTAATGAGACTTGGTCGATCTGCAAACCTATTGCTTTCTTAGACAATTCACTATATTAGTTCATATGTGTACATATGATGCCCATATATGTTCAGATATCCATTTTCATTTCCTAATGAGAGTTAGAAAGTGAAGCTTGCGGTGTGATAAACTTTGTAGTGCTAGATCTTATACTTGCTTTTCCATATTCCATTCGCATATCCATCCTCTCCCAAATATCTGTTATATTTTACTCTTGTTTTCACTTTAAATTCCAGCTTTAGCTTGATCATCTTGCGATTAAACTTTGCAAATAGTTTGAATCAGTTACTTAATTTACATGGTTCATGTGAATTCGCAGGGTCTAAGTTTCCAGGAGAGGCTTAGCAGTGAGAGGTCACATCGTTAGGGAAGAATTCAGATGTGTGAACAACTCGCGACGACTAAACACAACGCACTGTTGGATTTACGGTTTCTGTTCGGTTCTGTTTAAACCAGGAAATCCATGGGTGAATCTGTTTTCTTTTAAAAAAATCATCTGAAGCTATTTCTGTTCTGATCCAAAAGTTTACAGTACATGTTGGTGAACACAGAAAATATTACAGGATTATGGTCATTGACCCCCAAAAAAGCTTTTGAACTTTTCCCATGTTTTGTTTATTTTATATTATTGGCTTCATAAATCATATGTTTTGCTCAATTTCCAATACTGGTTCTGTAATGGACCTTCAAATTCTCACATTTGAGTGTTGAAGTGATAGAGAAATAGTCTTCGGGAACCGATTAATATATTTGGTAAGTTTGTTAGTGTGGTTCTTAGGTTAATTTCATTTCAGATATAAGATTTTCTCATGTTCCTTAAAAATTGTTCTCTCACAAAAATAAATAAAAATGTAATGAATATCACGAAGAAAGGGCCAGTCCAGTTCATGGGTCCAACAAAAAGTCCATTAGAATAATGGATTAATAGGGTAGAGCCGTGAGGAATCCTGACCGTCCACTAAAAAATCTTCAGATCACGCCACGTAAGCAATCCGCGTGAAACCAAAGTAGCCAATGAGATCCAGCAAAACCTTCTATATAAGAAAATCATCTTCCTCACAATCCTCAACAAACGCATCTATTCATTGACTACTG